TTCCAGCTGCTTTACCCCCTTTCATTCTACATGATGCCTCACGCACCTCCCCCACACTCACATCCTGCTCTTCTTCACTCCTAAAAGATGATATACCTCCCTGGCCAGTGCATGAAATTACCGCCTCCATTTCTTCGTCATTTAAAAGTTCCTCAAAATATTCTCGCCATCTACCCAAAACCTCCATCTCCCCATCTACTAACTCCCCTTATGTTCTTATTTATTATTTATTATCACACTGGCCGATTCCCACCAAGGCAGGGTGGCCCGAAAAAGAAAAACTTTCACCATCATTCACTCCATCACTGTCTTGCCAGAAGGGTGCTTTACACTACAGTTTTTAAACTGCAACATTAACACCCCTCCTTCAGACTGCAGGCACTGTACTTCCAATCTCCAGGACTCAAGTCCGGCCTGCCGGTTTCCCTGAACCCCTTCATAAATGTTACTTTGCTCACACTCCAACAGCACGTCAAGTATTAAAAACCATTTGTCTCCATTCACTCCTATCAAACACGCTCATGCATGCCTGCTGGAAGTCCAAGCCCCTCGCACACAAAACCTCCTTTACCCCCTCCCTCCAACCTTTCCTAGGCCGACCCCTACCCCGCCTTCCTTCCACTGCAGACTGATACACTCTTGAAGTCATTCTGTTTTGCTCCATTCTCTCTACATGTCCGAACCACCTCAACAACCCTTCCTCAGCCCTCTGGACAACAATTTTGGTAATCCCGCACCTCCTCCTAACTTCCAAACTACGAATTCTCTGCATTATATTCACACCACACATTGCCCTCAGACATGACATCTCCACTGCCTCTAGCCTTCTCCTCGCTGCAACATTCATCACCCATGCTTCACACCCATATAAGAGCGTTGGTAAAACTATATTCTCATAAATTCCCCTCTTTGCCTCCAAGGACAAAGTTCTTTGTCTCCAAAGACTCCTAAGTGCACCACTCACCCTTTTCCCCTCATCAATTCTATGATTCACCTCATCTTTCATAGACCCATCCGCTTACACGTCCACTCCCAAATATCTGAATACATTCACCTCCTCCATACTCTCTCCCTCCAATCTGATATCCAATCTTTCATCACCTAATCTTTTTATCCTCATAACCTTTCTCTTTCCTGTATTCACTTTTAATTTTCTTCTTTTGCGTACCCTACCAAATTCATCCACCAATCTCTGCAACTTCTCTTCAGAATCTCCCAAGAGCACAGTGTCATCAGCAAAGAGCAACTGTGACAACTCCCACTTTATCTGCGATTCTTTATCTTTTAACTCCACGTCTCTTGCCAAGACCCTCGCATTTACTTCTCTTACAACCCTATCTATAAATATATTAAACAACCACGGTGACATCACACATCCTTGCCTAAGGCCTACTTTTACTGGGAAATAATTTCCCTCTTTCCTACATACTCTAACTTGAGCCTCACTATCCTCATAAAAATTCTTCACTGCTTTCAGTAACCTACCTCCTACACCATACACCTGCAACATCTGCCACATTGCCCCCCTATCCACCCTGTCATACGCCTTTTCCAAATCCATAAATGCCACAAAGACCTCTTTAGCCTTATCTAAATACTGTTCACTTATGTGTTTCACTGTAAACACCTGGTCCACACACCCCCTACCTTTCCTAAAGCCTCCTTGTCCATCTGCTATCCTATTCTACGTATTACTCTTAATTCTTTCAATAATAACGCTACCATACACTTTACCAGGTATACTCAACAAACTTATCCCCCTATAATTTTTGCACTCTCTTTTGTCCCCTTTGCCTTCATACAAAGGAACTGTGCATGCTCTCTGCCAATCCCTAGGTACCTTACCTTCTTCCATACATTTATTAAATAATTGCACCAACCACTCCAAAACTATATCCCCACATGCTTTTAACATTTCTATCTTTATCCCATCAATCCCGGCTGCCTTACCCCCTTTCATTTTACCTACTGCCTCACGAACTTCCCCCACACTCACAACTGGCTCTTCCTCACTCCTACAAGATGTTATTCCTCCTTGCCCTATACACAAAATCACAGCTTCCCTATCTTCATCAACATTTAACAATTCCTCAAAATATTCCCTCCATCTTTCCAATACCTCTAACTCTCCATTTGATAACTCTCCTCTCCTATTTTTAACTGACAAATCCATTTGTTCTCTAGGCTTTCTTAACTTGTTAATCTCACTCCAAAACTTTTTCTTATTTTCAACAAAATTTGTTGATAACATCTTACTCACTCTCTCATTTGCTCTCTTTTTACAATGCTTCATCATTCTCTTAACCTCTCTCTTTTTCTCCATATACTCTTCCCTCCTTGCATCACTTCTACTTTGTAAAAACTTCTCATATGCTAACTTTTTCTCCCTTACTACTCTCTTTACATCATCATTCCACCAATCGCTCCTCTTCCCTCCCGCACCCACCTTCCTGTAACAACAAACTTCTGCTGAACACTCCAACATTACATTTTTAAACCTACCCCATACCTCTTCGACGCCATTGCCTATGCTCTCATTAGCCCATCTATCCTCCAATAGCTGTTTATGTCTTACCCTAACTGCCACCTCTTTTAGTTTATAAACCTTCACCTCTCTCTTCCCTGATGCTTCTATTCTCCTTGTATCCCATCTACCTTTTACTCTCAGTGTAGCTACAACTAGAAAGTGATCCGATATATCTGTGGCCCCTCTATAAACATGTACATCCTGAAGTCTACTCAACAGTCTTTTATCTTTTATCTACAATACATAATCCAACAAACTACTGTCATTTTGCCCTAAATCATATCTTGTATACTTATTTATCCTCTTTTTCTTAAAATATGTATTACCTATAACTAAACCCCTTTCTATACAAAGTTCAATCAAAGGGCTCCCATTTTCATTTACACCTGGCACCCCAAACTTACCTACCACACCCTCTCTAAAAGTTTCTCCTACTTTAGCATTCAGGTCCCCTACCACAATTCCTCTCTCACTTGGTTCAAAGGCTCCTATACATTCACTTAATATCTCCCAAAATCTCTCTCTCTCCTCTACATTCCTCTCTTCTCCAGGTGCATACACGCTTATTATGACCCACTTTTCGCATCCAACCTTTACTTTAATCCACATAATTCTTGAATTTACACATTCATATTCTCTTTTCTCCTTCGATAACTGATCCTTCAACATTACTGCTACCCCTTCCTTTGCTCTAACTCTCTCAGATACCCCAGATTTAATCCTTTTATTTCCCCCCACCGAAACTCCCCTCCCCCCTTCAGCTTTGTTTCGCTTAGGGCCGGGAATCCAATTCTTTTCTTCATAACTAGAAAACTTCTTGTCATCCGCATAATCCCGCACTTCAACATCACAGTTTTATAAAGTTTTTTTTCTTTTTCTTTTTTTAGTAATGTCTAAAAAGGGGAAAAGGGGTTACTACCCCTTGCCCGGGCATTTTAGTCCCCCATAAAAACACGCATGTTACGGAGGGGAAAAAAATTTTTTTCCCTTCCCCCGGACAATAGATGAAATAAAAAGAAAAAGAGCTATTTAGAAAAGGGGAAAAACCTAGATGTTTTATATATATATGCAGTGCGTGTTGTGAAGTGTGACCAAAGTGTAAGTAGGAGTAGAAGATACCCTGTTTTTCTAGCGTGTTTATGAGACAGAAAAAAGAAACCCGCAATCTCCATCATGCAAAAAAAGTTACGGTTTTTTGTTTCACAGTCATTGGGAGGGGGTAGTAATTCCCCTGGGTGGTTGCTGTTACCAACCTCTACTATGTTCTTATATAAAAAAATCTGCGCAGCGTGCATAACGAGAAAAAATGGACCCCGTTTTGGAATAAAAACCCCACTTTCGGTTTTATTTTTTTTTATGGTTTATTCGTGGGTTTCTTGGGTCAATTGATAAAAGGGAAGTATATTACAAAAGTAGAGTGATTTTAGTATGAAAAAGCAGAAATTGACCAAAGTGCAAAAAATGTTCGTTTTTTTGCCGATGTTCAAGAGAGACAATAACGTCATGCATAAATCCGTCAACTAGGGGGGGTCTAAAACTTCACAAATGCGGATTTTTTTATCCCAAATTTTAAAAATATTGATAATGTAAATCTGTTTTTTTTTTGTGTGAATAAAAATTCTTTATGTAAATCAAATCATAATGGAAATTTATGTTAAAGCCTGGAAACATAACTAATAAACAGAGGAAAAAGTTTTTTACTCCAGAAGCCCGAGTTTATTCTTGACCCTATTTTTAACTGGAAAATTTTTTAAGTTTGTGAAAATTGGCCAACTACTTATTTTGGTCACTTTACTGGGTAGTGAAAAAAAACTGATTTGGCAATTCTTGTGCTCAATCGATAAAAAATAAGGTTTTACTAACAAAATAGCAAAAATTTGGTCAACTGGCATAATGTAATTGGCCTAAAATAGGAGTCAAATTGGGCAAAAAATCGCTGACACGGTAATATTCGTGATAATGTAATTTCGTCAATTTTCCATCAAATTTTGTACTTTGTTTTATTACCTTCAAAAAAAGATTTTCTACCATTTCATAAGAATTTTTTTTTTTTTAAATTCTTGGACCCTAAAAGGGTTAAAATTCATTCTTATTGAAAAAAAAAAAAAAAAAAAAAAAAAAAAAAAAAAAAAAAAAAATAAATAAATTTATTCACATATTTCTAGTCTATCCTGCTTGGGGGGAGATTAACTATTTTTTTATAATGTAATGAAAACAATGAAAAATTCACCCAATTTTTAAGTAGAAATATTGCTTGTAATTATACTACTAGTTAAAGAAACAATGACTGTTTTATGATGATGATATATCCATTTACCATGGTTATTAACCTCAAAGGTAAACTGACATTAAGCAAATGAGGGTTAGGTACAGCACTGTGAAAAATTAAAAGGTGGAGGAATCTCAGTTATACCTAGGAATGAGAGTGATCCTTAAACAATTACCTGAAAAAAAAAAAAAAAAATTTACTCACCAAGAAATCAAACACACTAAGGCCCAGCATGTCGAAGGCAATACACACATGGCCGTGGTAGTCAAACCAACTAAGCATTCGAACACACAAGCTGAAAAGCACAATATACAAGATTTTGATTACTGCTATATGAATAACATCCATAATAATTCTAACCTCTTATATACTGTATTGTAATTAGGCACAGTTATCAACAATACAATATAATCGTATACTTGCCCAATTAACTACCTGATCAAACCTAGTCTAAGTTTACCTATGGGCACTTCCAACTATTGTATTATACACAAATAACCTGCACATAGTAGAGAGAAGCTCATGACGATGTTTTGGTCCGACCAAAACATAATAAGTCCCTCCTATGTGCTGGTTATTTGTGTATTGTTCCAGTCACAGTACTGTACCTTTTTATTCTTTATTGTACCATGTATATGTATAATATTTTAAATCTTTAAAGTAATTCAACTGATGTACTAAGGCTTTATATTTTTCTTCTAACCTACTTATATTTCTTCAAGGTTTAATCATCATACTTCTGTTTGAGCATTCAAGAGCTGTTCAAGTTCTAGTATTCGTAAAAAAAAATTTCTGCTTTATTTTTCCAACTCCTAAAGATTTATACAATTCAACTTCACTTAATGAACGCAAGTTTCCCCTCACACAAAAATTCACCAACACTAAAATTTTTACGAGCAATTAGGTAGTTCACACTGTGTTAAAAATAAACTGACCTAGTTTTAACCCATTATACACAAAATTTCACCTCCACTCATTACTATTCTTTATTTTATCATGTTTACATACTAAAGAAGATAGAGGTCTCAATATCATGACTGGAACAAGTGGCAAGTAACCCACACTTTGAGGAGGAAACTTTAGATTAAGTTTTCATCTGTGTCACAACTGCAATTCCCGTAGCTTGATCGCTAGTGCATTCAGCTCACACTGTGGTCTGGGGTTTGATCCCCAGTAGGGATGGAAATCATTAGGATGTTTCCTTAAGATACCTGCTGTCCATGTTCACACATCAGTAAAATGGGTACCTGGGTGTTAGTCAACTTGTGTGGGTTGCATCCTGGAACAAAACTGACCTAATTTACCCAAAATGCTCTGCATAACAATGGGCTTCCTATATATACTAGTATGTCACTGACATCAGCTAGGCCTGTATATCTTGTACATGTACTTGAAATAAATATTATTATTGTGGATAGACAAGTCTGAAGTTGCCTATTCAAATTGTAGGTTAGTTGTGAATGTACTACTATTAATACCATTAGCAAATTTTACTGAGAGTGAGTTGAGAAAAACCTGGGGAGCCAATGAAATTGACAGTTAATAAAACAGAAGAGAGGAGATGTTAGACGGGGAGGAGAAAATACTGGAAAGATTAGAGAATATTCTGATGAGCTGTTAAAGGTTTTTGATGTAAGAGTGGCAGTGGCTTTATGCAGTGGACAGGGAGAAGTAATATCTCATAGGAGTAATGAAAGGCCAGAAGAGGATGCAGAGGAAGTGCACGAGGCAATGGGTAGAATGAAAGATGGGGTAAAACAGTTAGGACATGGGATTAAGACTTGAGATATTAAAACCAAGTGGTGATAAAGTATTGAAGTGGTTGGTGTATTTGTTCAATATGTGCATTAAAAAAGGGAAGATGCCTAAGGATTGGTAGAAAGCATGCGCAGTTCCTTTGCACACATGGGAAAAGGGAATGAGAAAGATTTAGAATTCTAGGGAAATAAACCTGTTGATTGTATCATGTAAAATACATGGTAGAATTATTATTGTAAGAATTAAGGATAAGATAAATAAGGATAGCAAAGGAATAGAAGATTTAAAAAGGGTAGGGGATGTGGAGACAAAGTACTCACATTTAAACATGCAAGTGAACACTACTTACACAAGGGTAAGAAAATGTTTGTCACATGTATGGATTTAGAAAAGTCATACAATAGGTTGGGTGAAGGAGCAAAGTGACTGATTTTGCAAATGTATGGAATATGTAGTAAATTACTTAAAGCAGTAAATAATTTTTATGTGGAGAGTGAGGTTCATGTTCGAATAAGTAGGAGAGATGGGAACCATTTTCCAGTGACAGTAGGCTTTAGACCGTTTTTTTTTTTTAATACATCGGCCGTTTCCCACTGAGGCAGGGTGACCCAAAAAGAAAAAAAAACAAAAAGAAAGAAAGAAAAACTGTCATCATCATTCAATATTTTCACCCAAACTCATACATAGTCACTGTCTTTGCAAAGGCGCTCAGATACAACAGTTTAGACGTCCCTCCAAACTGCCAATATCCTAAACCCCTCCTTTAAAGTGCAGGCATTGCACTTCCCATTTTCAGGACTCAAGTTTGGCTAACCAGTTCCCCTGAATTCCTTCACAAAATATTACCCTGCTCGCAAGGTCCCAAAAACCATTCGTCTCCATTCACTCGTATCTAACACGCTCACACACGCTTGCTGGAAGTCCAAACCCCTCGCCCACAAAACCTCCTTTACCCCCTCCCTCCATCCTTTTCGTGGACAACCCCTACCCTGCCTTCCTTCCCCAACAGATTTATATGCTCTCCAAGTCATTCTACTTTGTTCCAATCTAAATGACCAAACCACCTCAACAGCCCCTCTTCAGCCCTTTGACTAATACTTTTAGTAACTCCACACCTCCTCCTAATTTCCATACAACTAATTCTCTGCATAATATTTACACCACACATTGCCCTTAGACACAACATCTCCACTGCCTCCAGCCGCCTCCTTGCTGTAGCATTTACAATCCATGCTTCACACCTTATATGAGTGTTGGTACCACTATATTCTCGTACACAATCTTCTTTACCTCCATGGATAACATTCTTTGTCTCCATAGATACCTCAATGCACCACTCACCTTTTTTCCTTCATCAATTCTATGGTTAACCTCATCCTTCATAAACCCATCCACTGCCAAGTCAACTCCCAAATATCTGAAAACATTCACTTCTTCCATATTCCTTCCCTCTAATGTTTCATCCAATTTTTCTTTATCTAAATTGTTTGATACCCTCAGCACCTTACTCTTATCTATATTCAGACATGTATAATACACAAATAACCTGAATATGGGAGAATGAAACTATGACAATTCCATCCTACCTGGACTGTTAACTTTCCTGACCATTAACTAACCTAACTAGTTAATGATCCAACTTGGACTGAAATATAGTCACGAGCTTCATTCTCCTATGTGCAGGTTACAGTATTTGTGTACTGTTCCAGTCATGGTATTGTGCCTTATTCCTTTTAGACAGGCGAGTTTCGAGAGTTTAACTACTCTCAGAGCCCGCCATGGGCCAGGCTCGTCCGGTGGTTGCCTGATCAACCAGGCTGGTGCTGGAGGCCTGCTGCCCCACATATCCATCACAGCCTGGTTGATGTCACCACTGCTGCTTAGCAACTACAGAAGGGGGTTGGGAGAAATGTGGGATTAAAAGATAATGAATCTGATAAAAACTGGGGGTGGTCACAGTTGCTCTTTGCTGATGGCAGTTGTTCTGGTAGACTGAGGAAAATTGCTAAGATTAGTGAATGAATTTGGGATGATATCAGAAGGAAATTTAAAGTGAACGAAGAATGGAGCAAGGTGATGAAAATAACAAGATATCTAGGCAATGAAAGATTACACGGTGGAACCTCGGTTTTCGTTTGCTCTGGTTTTCGCCGAATTTGGTTTTCGATGACTTTTCATCAAAATTTTGTCCCAGTTTTCATTCATCACCTCGGTTTTCATCGAGTTGACAGTGGTCTGCCATACCGAACGTGTCTGCCCGTGCCCACACAAAGTATTCCATGCTTTCTGAGTCAGTCTGGCTTTGTTTCTCATTGGTAGAGGGTGGTAGTGGTTGTGATGGTGGTAGAGGGTGGTAGTGATTGTGGCAAAGGGTGGTAGTGATTCATGAAATTGTAATGACCATACCTGTGGTATGGTAATGACAATACCCATGGTATGGTTTGTGGTAATGATGGTGGTAGGTGGTGGAAGTGATTGTGGTAGGTGGTGGTAGTGATTGTGGTAGGTGGTGGTAGTGGTAGTGATTGTGGTAGGTGGTAGTGATTGTGGTAGGTGGTAGTGATTGTGGTAGGTGGTAGTGATTGTGGTAGGTGGTAGTGATTGTGGTAGGTGGTAGTGATTGTGGTAGGTGGTAGTGATTGTGGTAGGTGGTAGTGATTGTGGTAGAAGGTAGTAGTGATGGTGGTAGAGATAACCTCTCCTCCCTTTCCCCTCCTCCTCATCTTCCATACGCCAACAAGAGTCTTCAATAAAGGTAAAAGTGATGTCAAATGTTCATTTATCCATTTCATTAGTCTTTTATATTTACTTCTCATTGTTTTCTGTATGTAAAACTAGTTATTCTCAATAAAATTATTTTTTGTTAATACTTTTGGGTGTCTGGAATGGATTAACTGGATTTACATTATTTCTTATGGGAAATATTGCTTCAGTTTTCGTCAGACTTTCTGGAACAAACTAATAACGAAAACTGACGTTCCACTGTATATCAGACTGGAAGGAGTAAGGAGGAAGTGAATATAGACATTTGGAAGTGGACATGTCAGCAGATGAGTCTATGAAAGACAGGGTAAGCCATAATACAGATGTGGGGAAAAAATCACAGGTGGTGTGTTGAGGCCATCTGTGGAAAGAAAGCTAAACTATGGTGACAAAAAGGGAAATGTATTAGAGTATAGTGAAACCAACACTTTTATGTAGGTGTGAGGCAGGGGCTCTAAACACTGTAGTGAGGAGACCAATGGTTGTGTGAATGTCATTTCTGAGAGCAATGTGTGTTGTGAATATCAGACAGAGAATTAAGGAGTAGAAATTAGAAGACTGTGTGGGGGTTACTAAATCTATAATGCAGAGGGCTGATGAGGGGCTGTTTGGAAGGAATGGAGCAGGTAGGATGATCAAGGTATATCAATTTGAGTTGGAAGGAAGAAGGGGTGGTCCAAGAATGGGTTGGAGGAAAGGCATAAAAGTTTCACATGTTAGAGCCTTGAGCATTCAGCAAGCTTGTGTGAAGCTTGTTAGAGTGGAGTGAAGACAAGTGGTTTTTATGGCTTGATGTACTGTTGGTGTGAGCAAGGTAACATCTGTGAAAGGATTCAGGGAATCCAATTAGCTGGACCTTATTCTTGGAGGTGGGAATAAAAGTGCCTGCACTCTGAAGGAAGTGTCAGTATTGCAGTTCAGAGGGTCATCTGAATTGTGATGTCTTTACACTTTTGGCAAGACTGTTATTGAATGCATCTTTTTAATTGGAGAGGAGAGGAGAGGAGAGGAGAGGGGAAGGGAAGGGAGGGAAAAGGGGTTACTCTACCTTGGTGAGAAACAACTGATGTGTTAAAAGCAAAGTTATGGTAGACTGAAGTGTGCAGAATATTTGAATTACAGGCCTTTATGTAATTTTAGTCTATACGTATAAGCATTAAGTAAAATAAAATGTGAAACTGTATAATGCTTTGCCAGTCCAATTTTCAGAAAAGTAAACAAGTTAAACATTTAATTAAGAACCGAGAACACGAGAAAATCGAGGAATGACTTAGTGGAAGAAATTAGAAAGAACATGTGTTTAGAGAAGTCAGACAAAATAAGAAAGCAGAACTGTAAACCTCAACAATGTGAAGAAAAGAAAATAACCAAGAAAATAATACTAGTGAGCAAATGAGCATATCCCTGCAGCTCCTATGTTAAGAGGCACAATTAGAGTGATAATCCTTGGTAGTAATAAAGCTCTGGCGGAGAATACAACAAGCACAACAGAAAAAGATGACAGAAGACTTATCTTTAACAGCATAAAAAAAAAAAAAAAAAGGCCAACCAGAGGATCTGTTAAACTATTTTTACAGCTATATTTTTTTTTGTCATTAAACTACTAAAATATACACAAATAACCCACACATAAAAGAGAGAAGCTTATAATGACGTTTCGGTCCGACTTGGACCATTTACAAAGTCACACTAACCAGAAGTGGAGCAGGACGGCTATATATAGGCAGGAAGAGGTGGAGGTAGTAGTAGTAGTACAAGAATGGCATATAATACCGACAAGATGAAATTAAGACACATGCGCAACACCCGGGCATCCCTATCGTAGACGTTTCGCCATCCAGCCAGCCACTGGATGGCAAAACGTCCACAACAAAGACACCTAGACGCCGCACATGTGTCTTAATTAAGACACGTGCGGCGTCTGGGTGTCTTTGTTGTGGACGTTTTGCCATCCAGTGGCTGGCTGGATGGCGAAACGTCTACGATAGGGATGCCCGGGTGTTGCGCATGTGTCTTAATTTCATCTTGTCGGTATTATATACCATTCTTGTTCAACTACTACTACTACCTCCACCTCTTCCTGCCTATATATAGCCGTCCTGCTCCACTTCTGGTTAGTGTGACTTTGTAAATGGTCCAAGTCGGACCGAAACGTCGTCGTAAGCTTCTCTCTTTTATGTGCGGGTTATTTGTGTATTGTTCCAGTCACGGTATTGTGCCTTTTTTTGTTATTTACTAAAATATATAATGCTATGTATTGCCATCAAATTTATGTCTAAAATACACAGACTTGTATTTGGCCAATACTCACTGTTTGTTGTAAGGGTCTTTCTCTGCTAGTTTTTCCAATACATTAATTTCTAGCTTGGCAGCCTCTCTGTATTTTTCTACATTTTTAATAATCTTTAAGGCCAGGAACCGATCACTGCAAATAAAAAAAGGTAATGTAAGAATAAACTGGAATTCAAATATTAAAAGTTATTTCATAGGTGAAGTTGGGGTAGGTAATGAAATTATAGAGTATGTAATAACTAGCATAATTATTACCAGCTAATGTATATAATAAATAACTTGCACAAGTAAATACAGTAGGACCCCCATATCCACGGGGTTATATGTTCCAAGGACCTGCCTATATTATGCAAGTCCTACACATATCTATTATAAAGTTTTAATTGATAAATTATGAGCAATAAGAGGAGAATTATCACTTTTTCACTGATGGGAAGCACTTCACAGCTTCTCTTAAGCCTTGAAGAACTGCCAACTTCTCTACTTTTGCACTTTGGGGCCATTATTATGCAAAATTAAGAGGTATTTTTGAGCCACAGTAAACCATGGATAACTGAAACAATCGATACCAAATCAGTGGATACAGGGGTTCTACTGTACAGTAACAGCTAAATACAATAGTACTGATAAGTGTGTGCAAGTTATTTAATTAACAACAGGATTACTTTTTTAACAATTTGGTAGTGAAGACAACCCTATAGTATTAGATATAACCAAAAACAGTTTGATTACATTCTAGAATGATATTTAACACTGATATTTAACATTTTTAACTCAGCATGAGCACTCCACAACAGGCCTTGACATACTGCACATATGCTAAATTTTAATTAAATATACTACCTCAAATATTGCCAAAGAATTTCAAAGATACAAATGCCTGGAATCAAGGAGTATTTAACTTTATATAACAACACTAGTCCACAAGAAATCTATTATTTTGATGTTAGATAGAAACATGACTATGTACTGTAATTAATAAACGTGATCATTGTGTATTGTACAAAATGATACCCATTCCATACATACAGGTACTGCATTATGCAGTAATTACTATTATTACCATCATTATTCACATGGCTAAACCCATAAGGGTCATACATCAAAGTCAATGAATGCAATTAAAAACCACTGAAGTCAATGAATATAATTAAACAAGTATAAAACTCCAGTTAAAAAATATTTCAGTGTCTCATACTGAGTGTCCGTGGTTTGATCCTTGGTATGGGTGGAAACTCTGGGCATGTTTCCTTGCATCTGCTTCCCCTGTTCACCTAGCAGTACGTAGGCACACCTGGGTGTCAGTCAACTGTTGTGGGTTGCATCCTGAGGGATGGTAGTGTACCATAGAAAGAGCTGGGCTTTGAAATGAGCTGAGGTAGGATAATAGCTCTTCAACTTCAAACTGACGTTAAAAAAAAAAAAAAAAGTATTTTCCCCGCTAATACCTTTTTCAATACCAAGCTAATTTTTTTTTTATAATATTTACAGTACTATCACAAAGCATTAACAATATTTTATATAAAGCATACACATATAGTATATTACATAGATAAACTGTCCTATACCTTCGATATACCTTTGAAAAATTTCAAGAGTTTCACTACTCTTGGAGCCAGGCCATGGGCCAGGCTCGTCTGGTGTTTGCCTGGTCAACTAGGCTGTTGCTGCTGGAGGCCCACTGCCCCACATATCCATCACAGCCTGGTTGTTCTGGCACCTGGTGAAGATACTTGTCCAGTTTCCTCTTGAAGGTTTCTACACTTGTTCCAGCCATGTTTCTGATATCTTCTGGTAAGATGCTGAATAGTCTAGGACCCTGGATGTTGATACAGTGTTCCCTTTTTGTCCCCACTGCACCCCTGCTCGTCACTGAGTTCATTTTACACTTACTTCCATCTCTCTCACTCCAGTATGTCGTTATGGCAGTGTGCAGATTTGGGACAAGGCTCTCGAGTACTTTCCAGTACATGTACACGAGTAATGTTCAAGTCTTGAAGGCATTCCCAGTAATTTAGGTGCTTTACTGGCTCAATGTGAGCCATAAACAATCTCCGTATTTGTTCCAGCTCTGATATTTCTCCTGCTTTGAATGGGGCCGTCAGCACTGAACAGTATTCTAAATGAGAGAGTACTAGCAATTCGAAGAGTGTCACCAGTGGCATTATTTCCCTTGTTTTGAAAGTTCTCAATACCCACCCCATCATCTTCCTGGCTGTCTTGATTTTCGTCTTGTTACAGTCTTTAAAAGAAAGGTCAGCTGACATAATTATTCGCAGGTCTTTTATGTGTTCCTTTCATTCTATTTGGTGGCCCTCTTGAGTTTTGTATACAGTGTTCCTTTTGAGTTCTTCATTTTTTCCATACCTAAGCAGCTGGAACTTATCACCACTGAACGTCATGATGTTCTCCACTGCCCACTGGAAAACCCTACTTATGTTTTTCTGTAATTTTTCAGCGTCCTCTACCGTAGTGACTTTCATGCTTATTTTAGTGTCATCTGCAAATGATACAAAAGTGTAATGGGTGTTTTTATCTATGTCCGCTATGAGGATGAAAAACAGCAGAGGTGCCAGGACAGTGCCTTGGGGAACTGAGCTTTTGACCTCGCTGATGCTGAATCTTGCTCTGTACATGAATTAAAAGAATGTAACCGACTCTTATTACAATAAGGGTTTCAGAATGCTCTACTGTATTGCATTGTAAAGATAAGTTTTGAGAGCACAAGTGTTCATTCCAGCACTGCAACCTCAAGTTGAGTTATGGGAGAAAATTTTCATTAATTGAAACAAAATGGGGACCTTAATAGCAATTTAGTAAAAAAAATATTTTTAATGCTGACCACCAACCACACCTTATAAAATTTAATACAATATAAGCCATGCTAGCATTAAATTTGTTATACTCTAAATTTTTTTTTTCATCAAAGTGCAGAAAGGGTTCCTAGCCCCTTCCTCCCAGCATTTTAGTAGCCTCTTATGACACGCATGGCTTACGGAGGAAGAATTGTGTTCCACTTCCCCATGGAGACAGGAAAAAAAAACAAGAACTAGTAAGAAAACAAAAGAAAACCCAGAGGGGTGTGTATTATATGCTTGTACATGTATGTGTAGTGTGACATAAGTAGAAGTAGCAAGATGTACCTGAAACCTTGCATGTTTATGAGACAGATAATGAAACACCAGCAATCCTACCATCATGTAAAACAATTACAGGTTTCCGTTTAACACTTACTTGCCAGGATGGTAGTACCTCCCAGAGTGGTTGCTGTCTACCAACCTACTACCTACATGTGGTGAAAATGCAGCAGCAACAGTGCCACACCTACAGGTGCAGAAAAAGGAGCAGAGCCACACCTGCAGAAACACCAGCAGTGCGACACCTGCAGTAGCAGAAACAGCAGCAGTGCCACACCTGCAGGTGCAGAAACAGCAGCAGTGCCACACCTGCAGGTGCAGAAAACAGCAGTGCCACACCTGCAGGTGCAGAAAACAGCAGTGCCACACCTGCAGGTGCAGAAACAGCAGCAATGCCACACCTGTAGGTGTAGAAACAGCAGCAGAGCCACACCTGCAGAAACACCAGCAGTGCCACACCTGCAGAAACAGCAGCAGTGCCACACCTGCAGAAACAGCAGCAGTGCCACACCTGCAGAAACACCAGCAGTCACACCTGAAGGTGCAGAAACAGTAGTGCCACACCTGCAGGTGCAGAAACAGCAGTGCCACACCTGCAGGTGCAGAAACAGCAGTACCACACCTGCATGTGCAGAAACAGCAGTGCCACACCTGCAGGTGCAGAAACTGCAGTGCCACACCTGCAGGTGCAGAAACAGCACCAGTGTCACACCCACAGGTGCAGAAACAGCAGCAGTGCCATACCTGCAGGTGAAGAAACAGCAGAGGTGCCAGCAACCAAGGCCAGTAGAGCAACAGTGCCACCAGCAACCAAGGCCGGTAGAGCAGCAGTGCCAGTAACCAAGGTCAGTAGAGCAGCAGTGCCAGTAACCAAGGCCAGTAGAGCAGCAATGCCAGTAACCAAGGAGAGCAGAGCAGCAGTGCCAGTAACCAAGGAGAGCAGAGCAGCAGTGCCAGTAACCAAGGAGAGCAGAGCAGCAGTGCCAGTAACCAAGGAGAGCAGAGCAGCAGTGCCAGCAACTAAGGCTAGTTTAGCAACAGTGCCAGCAACCAAGGGTAGTGCAGCAGCAGTGCCAACAACCAAGTCCAATACAGAAACAGTGCCAGCAACCAAGATCAGTAGAGCAGCAGTGCCAGCAACTAAGACCAGTAGAGCAGCAGTGCCGGCAACCAAGGTCAGTAGAGCTGCAGTGTCAGCAACCAAGGTCAACAGAGCTGCAGTGCCAGCAACCAAGACCAGTAGAGCAACAGTGCCAGCAACACAGGCCAGTAGAGCAACAGTGCCAGCAACCAAGACCAGTAGAGCAACAGTGCCAGCAACACAGGCCAGTACAGCAGCAGTGCCAGCAACCAAGTCCAGAAGCAGCAGCAATAGACGGAGCCTGCAGCACACATCCAGCCTGATGAATGCATCTCTCAAACTCTTAAAATCTCACTTGAAGTTCACGACTCATCCCTTTCGTTTTTAATACTAAAAATACCCCGGTTTACCACGAAAGGTATTTTTGGCATACCACACTGCTAGTTTCTGTCTTGCCAATCACCGTGGGCAGGGTAGGAGTGTCATTAGGTACACACTAGCATACTACCTCATCAACAAACTGAACTACGCATCAAGTACTGATGTAGCTATTACACAGATAGGTAATCTCTCACGATTAATGAACAGAGGAGTGAGCCTCCACTCTACTCTTGGCACTACGACACCCAAATGGAGTTAGCTCATCGTACAAAGTGCTGTAGTCTACATGTACGGGTGGAAACACTGGGCGTGTTTCCTTTAAAACACTTGCTGTCCCTGTTCACATAGCAGTAAGTAGGTACCTGGGTGTTAGCCGACTGGTGTGGGCCGCATCCTGGGGACAAAATTAATCCAAGTTGCTTCGAAATGCTCTGCATCTTCGGGCTTGCTATATAGTATGTCACTGATGTCAGCTTGTCTGTAGAAGTTGTATCATGTACTTGTAGACATTATTATTATTAACGAGTCACTGTT